TAAGATTATGCACTTTGCAAATATGCCTTGTTAATAAAATGTTCAGGTGTGATTGTATCCCTGTATCTCGCTATCAGCAGCATTTTGAGTACAGCAACTGAAAAAAGTATTTGAGTTTCCATATGAGCTACTTTAGAAAACCATATCTATCTGGAAGTAAATTAGATCCTGACCGAGAATTTTATAATTTGTTCCTTTCCTTATATTAACCAATCTCCTAAGGTTTCTTTGTGTGGTTCTCTAGGGAAGTGATATTGGTATACCCTCTATCAATTATTTCTGGGAGGGTTAATTTACTAAATAAAGTGTAGCTTGTTCTCATTCTTCTCGACAGGCTTGCACCAAATGCAGTCCTATTGTACCTTGCAAGTGTCATACAGCCTCTGACAAATGCAGCTACTCTAGCAGGTCCTGAAGGGAAACATCACAGAAAACAGAACCAGCAGTTTGTGTGTATTTACAGCTAGGTCAGTATAATGTGCCTGTCAAGCTGTCTCAGCCAGTATGTAGCTTGTTTCATAGGGAGACAGCTTCTGCATCACTTTCAGGATCACATACCAGTAGAGCTTGCTGCAGCAAATGGAGATAAAGGATTTTGCACCACAGCTACATGTACAGATAAAGACTATCCTAGTCCCAGACTAGTCCCTGTTGTGTTTCAGGGTACCTGTGACTATCAATAAAGCAGGGGTGGGTAAAATATGGCCAAAGGATTTTGTCCAGCCCACAGTGGGCCCCCTTGGCCCCACCAGGCTGTTGTGCATGGGGCTGGTCTTACCACCCCTAGGTGTGTGGCAGCACAGCAGCTGGACTCCACTTCCTGGCAGCCCCAGTGACAGCAGCTCCACTGAGACCAGTGAGGACCTGCATGGGCAGGATGTGTGGCAGGGTGGATGTCATGGGGTTGTGAATTGGTGGGGAGCAGCATCTGCAACTGGAACAGGTGGGCAGGGCTGGGATCTTAGGACCATGACAATGCAGGGCTGGGATCTAGGACCATGACAATGCAGGGCTGGGGCCTCCACATGCCCCTACCTACAGAACCACACATCCTTGTAATGGGTGCTGGGGAATGGATTGTAGCCCTGCACTGGACCCCAGCCTCGCACTGTCACAGCCCCTAACATCCTAGCCCTGCCCAACTGTCCCACTCCCGGATGCCACTTCCTACCCACCTGTGGCCCCATTCCATCAGTCCTGCCTCACACAAAGCAAAGCCACTTAGGGAGTTTTTATGAGGCTTATGGAGGGAGAGGGGATAGGTGCTGTTGAACCAGCCTGTGACAGGTCACCAAAACTCCCTAAGTGGGCCTCCAGTCCAAATAATTGCCCACTGCTGCATTGAGGGCAAGCAATGAATGTGCAATGAATGAACCAACAGATAAAGTTCCCTGTGGTCTGGATCTAACTTGTGAGGAGGAGCAAGTTTGACACCCTTGCTTTAAGTAAGCATGCCACTGAGCATTACCTAATTTCGCTTCTGAGTGAAAGGGGAGAGATGTGTAGGAAATCTTGTATGACGGTTTTAAGCTTTTTATTTTCACAGAACCTAAAGTTCCAATTCCTACATTTAAAGAGAATTCTAGAAACAGGCACATTTAAAAAAAAAAAAAAAAGGCAATATTTAATTTACAATACCCAAGTACAATAAGGACTTATTACATCCAAGTTTTATCTTCAGTTCTTTCCAGTTGAACCAAAGCCACCCACACCACGTTCAGTGTCATCTAGATTCTGAAAAATATCAAACGTTAGCTTTTTCAAAAAGTTTTAAAAAACAGTAAAATGTTCCTATTCTTGCAAATTCATTTCATTTTCCAGAGCTGATGAGTGATTTATAGTATAAGAGGTATAGCGTAAAAGCAATACCAATCTAAAGTACGCGTATTTTATTTTTTTTAAAATAAAAATCCAGTCCAGGAGTGAGTTTTGCAGTTTTTGATTTTTAAAACATAATACGTTTGAACACAATGGTTTAACAATAGTCATCTACAAGAAAAAAAAATGCACCCAAGACATTTTTCTTTCCATTTGTGATATCCATGATATGCATTAGTGTTAATTGTTAGAGGTGCACCAATATATTGGATCAGCACCAATAAAAGGAAAATTGATATTATTGGCAATTGGCATTTTTTCCCACCAGTGTAGTCTAATGTCGCCAATAAATGCCTCATGTATGTGCGCAGCCGCATGCATGCACGTGGTCTGGAATGCAGCCCTGCAGTTTAGAGAGCAGCATCTGGGCAGTACGTAGAGTCTGGGGGAGGGGGGCAGATCGAGGCCCCCCATGGTGAGGGAGGGAGTGGGGCTGGGGTAGGCACTGCCCAGCCAGGGCGGGGTGTGGAGCAGTGCTGCAGGTGGCTTGTCTTGGGGAACAGGGGGGTGGGTGGCTCCCTGCTGTTGCATGCACCCCTGAGGGGGACATGGGGGAGGCATGTGTCCCCCAGATTTGTGCATGGCACAAGGGTGGGCTGCCCATTGCAGGCTCAGGGCCAGGGGCTGCGCCAGCCTTTTCCTGGCAGGGGGGGCTACAGCAAGCTTCTGTGCTGGGAACAGGCTGGTGCAG